ACAGCTATTTTTGGTTGCATCAAATTGACTAGCCAAGACATAACCATAGCGTTATCTGCAAACCACTGTGCATATGCCTTCTCTGACTCAGCTGGCTCTTTCTCAGAACCAGTAATATAGCCAATCTTGCCTTTGCCACTAATGAACATCTTGGCAGACTGTGCCCAAATCAAATAGTTTGAACCATCCAACTTCACTGTGGTGATTTGATGTCCTGGATTTTCTGATGAGTTGGTGGGAAAAATGGCACCACCACCCACAAAATTAACAGTTGAGGACCCTGAATCTGCCATAATCTATCACACGACAATAAAAAACTCCAAAAACACCACAAATTCTGTTAATAAATCAAAGGATCTTAGACCATAAACAATCACAATGGCTCCTCAGACCATTCCCGAAAAATCCAAATACATACCTTTTTTTTTTTAAGGAGCGCTGCCCGCTTATATATAGCCAGACAACCTCCTTCTTAATATCTGGAACCTCTTTGTAGACTAATTTTTTTTTTTACTCAAGCCCTTCTAGGTGTTGAAAACCAACTATCCAAATTTACCCAACCCTAGAAGAGTGAAAAAGAAATTGCAAAACTTAAAAATACCTGTTTTCGATCACAAAACAACAACATAGAAAACATGTGTAGGCAACGTTACACGATGTCACAAACAGCCTAAGGTAGCTGTCGCACAAGTAACAAGGCTGCTGAAAGGTGTGGAAAGGTGTTGGCTCTGATACCAAGTAAAAATATAAAAAGAAGAGAAAGGAAAGAATTGTGTAAAGGCTTGAATGATATGAATTACTCATTCACAGCTCTAGTATTTATAGATAAAATGACCACATACTCATATTACAAGAAAGGAAACTAAATTAAATCAAAATCAAATCACAACTTATTCTAAAGCATATTTTATGGCATATTCTATAGCATAGTCAAATCTCTGCTATTATAGTAAGTCATACCATAAATCGTGGTATGTTATATGCTAACAATTTATTTATTTCCTTCTAGTCTCCTTACCTTTTCAGCCTCCCTGATTTGCGATAATTCTTTTGACTTTTCCTTATTTATTTATTTCCTTCTATTCTCCTTACTTTTTCAGCCTCCCTGATTTGGGATGATTCTGTATGTTCAGATAATCATGAGCGAGCTGTTCTACATCAGTCTCCCCTGCGTAAAAAGAACTCATCCCCGAATCACCCGAATCTGGCGGATAATATTCATGTATGTCAGCCACATTGAAGGTAGAAGAAATGGCCAGGTTAGTAGGTAAATCAATCACATAGGCGTTGTCGTTGATTTTCTTTAGAATATGGTACGGACCATATTTCTTGGCTTGCAGCTTGTTGTATGTTTCCACTGGAAACCTCTCTTTTCTTAGATACACCATAACCAAGTCCCCTTCTTCAAATACTCTTTTCCTTCATCTCTTGTCAGCTACAGCCATGTATTTGGCGTAAGTTTCCTCTAGATGTTTCTTGACACTCTCCTGAATGATCTTAATGTGCTCAGCCATTTTCTCTGCAGCAACACTCTTCCCCGGCAACTTCGGTAAGGAAACCAAATCCAAAGCAACTTTTGCAGGACAACAAGACACAACCGCAAACGGGGTTTTGCCAGTGGACCTGTTAACCATGCAATTGTAAGCAAATTCTGCCTGGGCAGGAGCAAGATCCCACTGTTTTGGTTTCTCTCCTAAAATACAGCAAATTAGATTTCCAAGGGTCCTATTCACCACCTCTGTTTTTTCAAACTCGGGCGATGTGGGACTATGCCCCCGTAACCTGTTAGCTCACACCCGCTCTTGCACACCCGCCACAAAGGTCATCACAGTATAACCCAACATTAGTTGTCCAATGTCGCAACACTTCCAACTAGGTGAGGCTCTAACTCCATTTGTAACGACTCACTCCACTACATGATATGTTATTGTTCGACTTGGGTTGAGCCCGCATTATTTTTATCTGGGTTTACCTAAAAGGCCTCTTGGAAAAAAGCACTAGTATATATTAGCACTTCACATTCACCTTACCCTAGGCGATGTGGGATTGTGCACCTGTAATGTGAGATAGCCAGTAAGTGCCTCTTGCACCCGCCCACAAAGGTCGCCACAATCACCTCACTTTGAGCCTCAATGTCCTAGTTGACCATACTTCCAATTATGCATCATCTCTCGTATCATTCGTAATGACCCACTGCATTGCATGGTATGATATTGTTCGTTTTTGGACGAAGCACGCACGGTTTTGTTTTTATGTTTACCCAAAAATGCATTGCACGAATTGGAGTGTACCAATCCTACATATATATCACTTCTACTATCCATACCCAAGCGATGTGGGATCGTGCCTCGTACCCGCTTACAAGGTCGCCACAATAAAGAGTGGCTAAAATGGACGTTGGCCCCCTAAGGTGGGTGATTATGGCGACCAATGTGGCTGGGTGTGCCGCGGGCGGGTGCAAGAGGAACTGGTAGGCTACCACTCTGGGCAAGCTATATGTGCACAATCCCACATCACCTAGGTAAGGTGAAGATGAAGTACTTTTATGTACTGGTACTATCTCCAATTCGTATAAAGACTTTAAAAGGCAAAACTACATAGCAAAACAATGCGGGCTCGTGCCTGATGCGAACAATATCATACCATATGGTGGTGTGGGTCGTTACAAATGCTATTAGAGACTTACACAGAAAGAATTGTGGCCAACAAGGACGTTGAACACCTAAGAGGGTGATTATGGCGACCTTGTGGGCGGGGGTAAGGCACTGGTAGGCTATTATGCTAGTAAGGTGTACAATCCCATTGGGTGTGGAAAGGAGAAACACTATACATGTAGTATTGGTGCACTCCAATTGGTATGAGGCTGTGTGCAGGCCCGAACCCAAAGCTTATAATTTTATAATAATGATATTAGAGTCGGACCGAGCTGAAAGTGTGGCCAACAATAGATAATTAGTAGAACAACCTAACAGCAAAAAATAATAAGGAAAAAAAAAAAACCAAAACAACCACATATCAACAAGTAATAAGAAAAAGAAAAACCCTAACAACAAATAACTAAAAGAACCCTAAAAACACCAACAGGCCAGTGGCCTAGCGGTACCAAGCCTCTACTTCTTAAAGAGAGGTAAGAGGTTCGAGTCTCAGTGGAGGCATGTGTGTGTGAGTACCAACTAGGAAAAAAAAAAAAAAAAAAGAACCCTAAAAACAATAAATAATAACTAGAATAATCATAACAATAATAATACTTATAAAATAAAAATCTCAACAATAATAAATAATAACTAAACCAAATAGAAAAAGACAAACCCAAACAACAATACACAATAACTACAACCAACTTAACAACAGCAAATAGTAAAACAAAAAAAACTATAACAAACAAACAAAAAATAAAAAAACACTACCACCAACAAATATCAATAAAAAAGAAAAATCTACATAAAAAAAATGACAAATAATAGAAAAGCACAAACCCTAACAACAATAAATAATAACTACAACCAACCTAACAACAAATAATAAAAAAAGAAACTATAACAACAAACAAAATCTAAAAAACACTACCAAAAAAATTATTATTATTATTATTATTATTAACTAGAATAACCTAACAAAAATATTATTAAAAAAAAAAAAACCATAATAAGAACAACCAAACAATAACAAATAATAAGAAAAATAAAAGCCCTAACAATAATAAAGAACTAAAAGAAAAGACCTAACAACAATAAATAACTAGAATAACCGTAAAAATAATAAATAATAACTAGAACGACAAATAATTGAAAAGGACAAACCCTAACAATAATATATAACTACAACCACCCTAACAACAACAAATAACAAAAAAAGAAACTATAGCAAAGAAGAAGAAAAAAAAAAAAAAAAAAAAAAAAAAAAAAAAAAAAACACTACCAACAACAAATAATAATAAAAAAGAAACCGAAAAAACAAATTAAAAAAATTAAAAAAATCCAAACAACCATAAATATTAACTAGAACAACTCTAAAAATAACAAATAATAGTAAAAAGAAAACCCAAGCAACAACGAATAGCAAAAATAAACCTTGCAATAACAAATAATAAGAAAAGGAAAACCCTAACAATAAACCCTAACAAAATACCTCAACAACAATAAATAATAAAAATAAATAAATAAGCTCCAACAACAACTAATAAACAAAAACAAATAACCTAACAACAATAAATAATAACTAGAACAACTCTAACAACAACAGATAAATACTAACAACAAATTTAAAAAATTAAAAAATTAAAAATAAAAAAAAATAAAAAAATAAAAAAAAAAACCTTAGAAAACATTGACAACAAATAGATAATAAAAATAACTACCTTAACAGCAATATATAATAACAAGAATAAAAAACCTTAGAAATAATAAATAAAAATCAGAATCTTACAACAACAAATAACAAAAAGAAATACTTAACAACAATATATAATTGCTAAAACAACTCTAACAACAACAAATAATAAGAAAAAGAAAACCCTAAATACAACTAACAAAAAGAAAAATCCTAATAACAATAAATAATAAAAAGAATTATCATAACAAAAAATAAATAACACGAAAAAATCCCAACATTGATAAATAATAATAATGACTGAACCTAGGGTTACCTAAGCTGCCTACGTATCCCATCGTTGGGGAATCAAGTCAAACGTAGTTCTATTAAGGTGAACTTATAGACCTTTATTCGCAAATGGGATAAATAAGTCGTGATTGACTTGAGATTAATTTAATAACCTCGGTCTGTGATTGATAATGAGATGAGTCGTGTGTGACTCGATTCGAAGTTGAATGAGTTGTGATTGACTTTTGTTGACTCACTAGAGTCAAAACGGAATGAGTGGTGATTGACTTGAGTTTAGTTTAAAGACCTGAGCCTAACACTAACAATAATAACGATAAATAATAATAATAATAATAATAATAACTAAAATGGCAGTAAAGAATCAATATTACCATACTCACCTGGTCTGAATACACTACAATTTCATAAAACTAGGCAAGATGTTCCAAAATGGCAGCAACTCCGATTCTTTTGAATATCTGCAAGGCTTTTGTCAGGCTTTAAAACTGATAAATTACAAAAGCTAGAACTGGTCAGATATTACTGTAGGAAACAAATATAATATAATAATTGAAAAAGGAGAAATTAATGGGTGTGTGTGTGTGTGTGAGAGAGAGAGAGAGAGATAAGCGTTACTGAATGTGGAAGAGCTCAGAGATGTCACCCATCTCAAGGAAGAAGTTTACGCATCCAAGAGTAGATGGAGATGTGGATTCCATCCAGTTGGATAGGGAAGCCGAGGCCTCAGCGGCTCGCGCAGTGATTCATCAGTGCCACCAGCATCGGCGTTGGGTTGCGGGGAAGGAGGAGCCGCAACAAAGCAAATAGTGGCATCCTTGCCCTTGTCTCCAATAATAATTGAATAGCTCTCTTCACTGTTGCTATTGTTCTCATTCTTGTTATTGCAATATAAATTGTATATGGTCCAGTGTTCCTTCTCTATAAACAAAGATATCATCATCGTTTTCCATATGATTCCATGTAACTTTTCTGTCATGAACATGACACAGTGGCATTCCCCTGAAACAAAGTAAATTCGTACAAATCAAACCACTTACTTGTTTAAAGTTCAACATATTGTACCACATTCAAATATAGTCAACACGGATTTATATAAAGGAAATTATATTATATAAGGGTGAAGAACTGTATTACCAAGGCATTTTTCTTTTTCGTGAATTTATAATGATTTTCATAATTTCATAATTTAATTTGAAATTGAAATAAAAATATGTTCAAGCCTTGTTAGATACAAAGAACAAGAAAGATGACAAAGTTGTTAATTCTCATTTGGGTAAAAGTCAAGATTGATAGTTGGTCGAGTGGGGAACCCATTAGAACCAGGACATGCACCATAGAGATGTTACCTCCAAATTTATACCAAAATTAGCTACTCCAAAACCCCAAAACAGAAAAACTTGCCTGAGACAAGCACCAAATACTTTTTGGAAACCATCATTAATTTAAAATCAAAATCAGCATATGAAGCTCTCTTAGGTACAATTTTTTAAGGAAGGGGGGAGAAGGGAAACAAGCCCCAGTATAGGGAATTGGATCAATTTGTTTTATTTCAAATGCTGTGTTGGGACAACAACCATATATAGGCTAGAGTGATAATGAAAAAAGGAGCTGTCAATTTCACGAATGATAGGACCAGGTGTTAGCTTGAGCAGTATCTCCTATCACCCTACAAAGTTCAAGTCCAAGTTGGGACATAGATGTGCATGCTTTATTAAATCAGAACAAGAATCACCATATATTGTAACATGATAGAAAGAACTAGATTTCATTAACATCTAAACTGTTACACATGCAGATATTACCATTATTTATGGAAATGCTACACAAAATGCACAGACTAATTTCATATTCTAAATAAATGCTATGAACTGATTCACTATCGATGGAACATTGACGTGCTCCTAATTGTAGATGAAATTGCTTATTCTTGGTTTTTTTTTATTTCAAGGATGACAATTACAATTAAACAATACGGGTTTTTTTTTTTTGGACAAATAATAATAGGGTATTTAAAACAGATAAGAGGAGGATAGTCACAAAAGTAATCCATATACCGGAAGTTCCCAGAAGCAGGCAACAAGTTACTTTGGAATTTTCTGAAAATAATGTGGTCCCCATAAAGTAAAAGACAACTATACACTAAATCCTGACCAGTACATGGTTATCACATATAAGATTTTTTTTTTTTAAATAAGTTATAACTTATAAGTTTGATTTTCAAGGAGAATTCATTATAATAAATAATTTAGAAGAACATTTAAATCATTATGTTATCTTCAGCCAACCCTCTTTAAGTTTTGACCATATCTACATAATTCATATCTTGTTTACTACACATTCACTTTAATATGGCGTGATGACAGATTCTTATCTGAAATCTTCAGTCCCCTGTAATCATGGGATCACGTAGATAAGATCCGCGTAATCATGGGATCCTGTAGATAAGATCCCCATAATCATGGGATCACATAAATTTTGGCATATTTTCTTTCTTTCTTTGATTTGGTTTCCTTTCTTTGTACCCTATTCTTATATATAAATATAGATCTTGGCTCTTGGTTTGAATAAGCCAAAACCCAAATCTTCTTTTTGGTATCAGAGCAAAACAAAAACCTTCGCCTCCCCATCTTCCTCCCCAACACCGCCACTCTCTCTTCCCCTCTCCATTTTCCCTCACCTCCAGTGCACCTCCATCTCCTCCCACCCTCTGTTTTTTTACTCCTTTTTTAGGACAATTCCCTTAGGTTTTTTTATGATCTAAGGGTCCTTCTAGTGTTTTCTTTTTCTTTGTGGGCTGCCGGTGTTTGTTCGGTAGCATATTTGGAGGAAAGCGCCGATTTTTCCGGCTTTGTTTTTCTCTTTCCTCCCTCTTTGACGTGTGGACCACCCTTATTTTGGTACTATGAGTGATTCTAGTAGCCAAAAGGACACTTTATCTTCGAGCCGTGGTCACACTGCCGCAGTAGCCGATACTATTGGTGGGTATACTACTCCACAGATTGTTGTCCCTCCTGCTACAACTCCTCCCAGACCATCTTTTCAGGACTTCAAACAGTTACAATCCCAGATTGGTCAGCTTCAGGAGCAGTTCGGAGCCTTATCTACCAGGGCCGGCTCTCCTACCCCCACGACTACTATAGCTACAGGTACTCCTTGTGCTTATCATGTTAAAGCAGGAAAACCTACTTGGGTTTTGGATTACGGAGCCAATGATCACATGACTGGTGAGTTGTCATTATTTTTTACTCCCGTTACCCTGTTAATCAGGTTGTTAGTCTAGCCGATGGGTCAACCACCATTATTCGTAGCAAAGGAGATGTTCATCTATCCCCTAATATTATTTTGCCATCTGTTCTTTATGTTCCTAACTTTGCATTTAATCTTCTATCTGTTAGCAAACTTGCCAAATCACTAAATTGTACTGTGATTTTATTTCCTCATCACTGTGTTTTAAAGGACCTGTGTTTGAAGAGAATTTTTGGCAGGAGCACAATGGCCTCTACTACTTTAAGGATCCTTCACTTGCTTCAAGCCTTCAAGCATCTGTTCTTCCAGTTTCCAGGTCTTATGATTTTTCTTTTCAGACTTTAAGTTTATAGCATGGTCGCCTTGGGCATGTAAACTTTTAGTATTTATGTCTACTTTTCCCTTCATTAATAACGGCTTGCAAGGATAATAAGTTTCAATGTGAGATTTGTGAGCTTTCTAAATATACTAGAACCAGTTATATTTCTCATATGCATCGTGCACCTAGTATGTTTGATCTCATATATTCTGATCTGTGGGGTCCTTCTCCTATTACTGATTTTTCGGGCCTTCGTTATTATGTCACATTCATTGATGATTATTCCCGTTACACATGGGTATATTTACTTAAAAAGAAATCTGAAGTTTTTCCCTTGTTCACTCAATTCATCCAAATGATCAAAACTCAATATAAAACTGTTGTTAGGAATATTACGTCTAACAAATGGATGCATATCAATGTGAAAAGTGGGTAGTACAGCCTCTGGAGAGAGATTTCATTGCCATATGGAGTCTAGAAGTCCAAAAGAGAGAGCTGTCAGATCACAAAGTACATGGATATCAACACTGAAATGTACTAAAGATGCTTATGATGATAAAATAAAACCATAACAGATGCCTATAGTGATGCCATGGAACCACTCTGTCAGTTTTTATCAGCGCTAGAATAATGGACAGCAGTAAAGCAAACCATTAACAATAAAACCTTACCTTCCAAGCAAAGTATATTAGTGTCTCATTAAGATCTAACAGAAGCCCAAACATGTGCATCCCCAGGAGGTGCAAATCAGGGAGGAGCTTATCTGAGGATGGTTCCAATGAAACCCCTATAATGAAGCAAAAAAAATTTAATATGTTTGTTTCAAACAAAAAACAAAATACGAAAGCAAGGACAAAGAAGAATAAGAAATTTTAACAGGAAATAAGATAATTCTAAGTCAACATAAAGTACTACTTACTCTAGCATGCTCTTTGATCAACCAAAATTTAAGTGGAGAATATGTGCTTACAACCTCAACGACATCATTTCAAATAACTGAAACCTAAATTTAAATGGAGAACATGGCGATGACCATAACATTTATGTGAAGCATCTCCTGTTCTAAAGCATGGTTTGATGGACCACATGCCTCAAACAGAGAAGATAATAAAGAACACGCAAAATATATAACAAAATATAATCCAACTCAGTGACTACCCATAACATGGACATACACACATCTTTAATCAGTATGTGTCGCTTTGTGCGTGTCTGATATATATATATATATATATATATATTAATGCCTGACTAACTAAAAAACAAGAAATACTAAGGCTTGACTTTCACCACAGCAAAACAGAACACAAGTTTCCAGGGCCTAGTTCTCACTTCTCCCCACCTTTTTTTCTTTATCGCATCTCAAACCCGTCTTTCCTCTTATCTTTTCATCTCATTTCCCTCATTTTTATTTACTTTTATTTTTTTTTTCCTTTTTCTTTCTTTGTGCTTTTTCTTTTTTGCGCAACTGGTTTCCATCTCACGTCCCCCTTTTTTTTTTTGCCACTTTCGTTCAATTTTCTTTCTTCATAAAACAAAATGGACAAAAGCAAGAATAAGAAAACTAAAAACCCGTTAAAAATCAGGTCACAAGGTCAGACTTGAAATGTAAACTTTATATTTGCTCTATATGTGATCAAGTTACAAAATAATTAGCGAACCCAAATCTAAGGTACCTTTTTCAAACATCTTTCCTTGATGAATGACAGCAATCATATAGGCATTCCTCATTGTGCTCAATAGATGGGATACAATAATTGTTGTCCAATTGACCATGAGCCTATCCATTGCTTCTTGCACAATCCTCTCGCATTCAGCATCAAGAGCACTTGTTGCTTCATTTAGAAGAAGAATTTGGGGGTCCTTCAAAATTGCTCTGGCTAGGGCAACTCGTTGCTTCGATCCACCAAACAGCTGAATTCATGCTTACCCACCACGGTGCGGTGTACCTAAATTAAAATTTTAAAATTCAAAGGCAAATTAAAATTCATATTTTCATGAAAGTGAAGAGAGAGGAATGATGAAAAGAGTGACTAAATGGACAAGCAAGAACCTGAGGTAGTTTATCAATGAATTTGGCAGAATTTACTAGCTCAGCTGCAGCTCTAATATCCTCAATTGTTATCCCATCCTTCCCATACACAATATTATCCTCAATGCTGGATGCAAACAACACAGGTTCTTGGCTGACGAGACCAATTCTCAACCTAATCCATTAAGCCGGAACACATATAGATTAATTCGATCAATAAGTACTTCACCAGTTTGTGGACGATAAAATCTCTGAATCAGACAGAGCACTGTTGACTTACCTCTTCCACTCTGTCCAACCAAAGCTGCAGTTGTGCAACTAGGAATGGAAAGAGAGAATGCACTGAATATTCGATCATCTGGTCAGGCTGAATAACAAAAATGGACATCACTTAACTCTATATCTCCAGGCACTCTGTTCCATATTTCTCCTTTGGTTTGTCTTGGGTCGAAGGTTCTTCTTCATTTCCAGGAGTCTTGCCTTCTCTGTCTTCCTCAAATGTTCCGGTTACAGCGTAAGTAGAAGCAGGGAGTTCAGTTGCCTGGTTTAGATATTTGTGACGTTCTCTGTCCGGATCTGGTTGATAACATCATCAACCTCTCAAAAAGCTCCGCTCATAGTGGACTAATGTCATCCAAAACTTTTCCCTTCATGTCATATGCATCTATCCCTAGCGTCTTATTTATAGTCTCAAACATCCGTAATGCAACAGCTTGACCAGCAGCAAATGCATTCATGCAAGGAGAATCGGAGATGCCTGCCGTAAAGACCTGAAATATCCACATTGCAGCAAAAAAGTTTTAAATATATGATTTGCTACAAGACTAACAAGCTCAAGCAGAAGATGAAGTGTTTTCCTTTATGTAGTACTGAAAAAACTATAACTTATTTAGAAGCTACACAACAAAACGGGGAAAAAACCAAAACTTCATTTTAGCTCTTCTTATTCTTTTACATCTCAACCCGATTCTTAACTTTTCACATCTTACAACTCTACTAACTTTTTGTCCTTCCCATTTCAGCTCTTCGGAGTAACATGAAACATAGATAAATTGAAAAAGATAAACATTCAAGCAAATAACAGCAGTAAGAGCTACCGAACTGGATGCACAAATACGCACCACAATGTTTCATATGATTTACCTTCCTAAACAAAACTTCTATAAAATATAAAAGCACCCAGCCAAGCCAAACTCTCCCTTATGAGACAGAGTGGGAGCTGATTATTGTTTCCTCCTCCAGATGATTCCCAACTTGTGGAATGCAGGAATGAAATTTGTTGACTTGACTATCTACCAGATTCCGTAGTAGTTTATGACTTGTCTTGCTCACTTCTAGAAATCATATGAGCTGAGAGCATGCTCCATCAGGATCCTTGAGAAGTTCCAAATATTATGCTTTCCTTCTGAGCACAACTCACTTCCTCTGAAGAGTAACCCAAAACATAAATAAACTGACATTAGCTAAATTTTAAAACACATACAATTGGAATGAAACTTGTAAAAGAAATGAGAAACCACAAAGCTAAAGTAGTTATGTTATCGCACCATAAATAATTGCAGATATGGCTCCTGCTATCAGAACAGGAACCTCTGGTTTGTAGAGATGGGCAACGAGGCGCAGTGGAACTTCTAGATGCTGTTCTGACAGTTTTGATGGGTGGCCACGGGGTTCTCTTAATGCAGTTTCAGGAACACTTGGTCCAGCTGATGCTGGTAGACCAAATGAGACAGAGACGAGTGACACTTGAATCGATTGATTTGACACTTGCATCGATTGATTTGATTTGACACATGCAAACTCACTGGAACTGAGTGACACTTGCATCGATTGATTTGATTTCAAGGGTCGAACGAGGGAGCCTTGCTATGGCTTCGAGCGACGTACCTAAAAATGCCCTAAATTGCTTCTTTTGCAATTTTAAGTCCTCATACACCCTACATGATCTCTCATATAACCAAATAAATAAACAAAGACATAAAATAAAAAATAAAAATAAAAATAAAAAAAATTATACAGAAATATATTTTTGCCATTTTTCAATTTTGTGATGATATGCAAAGACACAAATATAAATATATAAATCTAAACATGCCAAGGTTTCCAAAGTGTCAATAAATCATCAATAAAATTGAACATTATTTGGACCCACAAATTTTTATTCTATTATCTTTATAAACATAAAAATTCTCATAATTAGGTTCAAAGATTTCTAGTCCATTTATAAATCAATAGTAGTCAACTTAGTCCATTATATGTGCATTAGAAATAAACTCAACACAAATATAATCAATTTCAAATTTGTGTTCAAAAACAATAATAAATTTCACAAAAAAAATCAAAGATTTCAAAAGCATGTGAATTTTCGCTCTTTTCTTTTTCTTTTTGAAACCACTCTTGTTTTTTTCTTTTGTGTTTCAATGACGGTTTTCACTCTAATGAGTAGCCAGCTATTTTCCCTTATTCCCTTTTTTTTTAGAGTCAAGGAAGCTTTCAGTCTGATCTCACTAGGTAGCCTTTTTCATAAGAAACTTTTTGCAGCCATCTCATTGGAGATTTTTCGTTTCTTTTCAACTGCAAAAGCACGCTCTTTATTTGAGTCTAAGTTCCCAACTTTGAAGAAAGATCATATGAATGTGAGTTAGGGTATGTGTGAATAATTTCACAAGTTTCTAACTATAAAGAAATAAATAAAACAAAACTTTTATTATAAATTATTCAAACTTCTATGTTGAATCAGAATCAATTTCAAAATTGTGTTTCCAAACTTTTATCTTTTTAATTGACTCTTGATTGAACAATTCAAAGTTTATGGCATGTATTTCTAGACACAAATACATAAATAAATTAAACAAATATACATGATAAGTATGCATAAATTATCATACTAGGGTACTGCCAAAAAACCAACCCACGAGCCCACTGATACAAAAAGAAAAAGAAAAAGTAGAAGAACTGCCAAACCTACCCACCAGCCTACTGACACTATTAGAAAAAGAAAAAAGAAGAGGAACAAGAAGAAGAATGCCTCTAGCAAAATTTCTCAATATGAGAGAGCCAATCCAAGTAATATACAACCAGAAATACTACAATCCCTCCTAAGAAAAAGCTGGGTTAACTCACAAAAGAAAATGGAACCGGATGCATTCTTGAAGTACTTCACCTTTAAAGGAAAGAAAAGATCAGTTTGGCATCTTCTAGGGAGGTTAGGCTAAAAACTGCCAGCTACCATACTTCAAGTTGGTTAGCAGCTTTGGGTCAAATATGACATACAACAATGCACAGCATTAGAAATTGAAGCAGTTCAGGGATACAAAGAAGAACCTTCTCAATAAAGCAGTGGAAAAAAATGCCAGCTTCCGATTCAGTAATGGTGTATCCCTCATTCCTCAGCGTAACAAAAAGTTCATGAAGAAATTCCAGCACCTGGTTTTAGAGGGGAAAAAGAAAAAAAATTTAATCACAATCAACAAATTTTCTTAAAAGCCACCTGAAATAAGCAAAATTGAATATATAAATAAGAAAATACTTCACCTTCAATAGGCGTGATGTGTTAGATTTGTAGAATCGCAAACCAAGCCATCTTAGAAGAAACACCTAGAACTTCAATTAGTTCCTTTCCAAAGAATGGAAGTGCCAGGAAAGCCAACATAAACTACAATTATATAACCAATCACATATTCTGAGCATTTTGAAGCCAACGCACTGTTTCTGGTCCGCAAGCTCTTAAAATTTCACCAATGCAAGTTTTTGCACCCTTGCAAACTTCCGCTGATTTATCCTATAGGGGAACCAACAAACCATAAAATTTTCATAAAATCAAAAAATGAATATTGCTTTCAATTTATTTTGCAAACAAATTCTAGTATTGCTCTAGTATATACCGTCATAGCAGAGGCAACTGGTTTTAGCAAATGTGAAGCATCGGAAAAATCACTTGATCCAGTAAGTGGCCTCGATACCCAATGAAAAAGATCCGTATGATCTTTCACAGCAAGTATTGCATCAGTTAAAGCAGCAGCAACTCAAGTAACCTAAAATGGACATAGAATTGTCATAATATTAGACAAGCTTGAATATAATGCACAACAATACAACCATAATTACTGCAATCCCTTTTAAGAAAAAGGTCGGTAAACTAACATAAGAAAATGGAACTAGATGCATTCTTCAAGAAAATACTTCGTCTTTTAAAGAAAGAACAACTGCCAGCTACCATACTTCAAATTGGTTAGCAGGTTTGGGTCAAACATGACCAACCACAATGCAGCATTAGAAACTGCACAGGTGATGGGACTAATTGAAGCAGTTAAGGGCTACAAAAAGAACCTTCTCAATCAAGCAGAATTAGAAACTGCACAGCGGATTGGACTAATTGGAAAAATTCAGGGCTAGAAAAAAAAAAAAAAAAACCCTTATCAATCAAGCAGGGGAAAAAATTGACAGCCTCCGATTTAGTAATGGTGTATCCCTCATTCCTCAACGTATCAAAAAGATTAGGAAGGAATTCCAGCACCACTTTTTGAAGGGGAAAAAATACTAAATTTAATCACAACCAACAAATTCTCTTACCAGCCACCTGATATAAGCAAAATTGAAATATATAGATAAGAAAATATTTCACCTTCACTAGGCATGATGAGTTGGATTCGCAGAATCGCATACCAAACCATCTTAGAAGAACATCTAGAACTTCAATTAGTTCCTTTCCAATGGATAAAAGTGCCTGGAAAGCCAACGGAAAGTAAAATTATACAACCAATCACATATTCTGAAAAACTAAAAGCCCGTTAAAAATCAGGTCACAAGTTCAGACTTGACATGTAACCTTTATATTTGCTCTATATGTGATCAAGTAACAAAATAATTAGCAAACCCAAATCTAAGATACCTTTTTCAAACATCTTTCCTTGATGAATCACGGAAATCATATAGGCATTCCTCATTGTGCTCAATCGATGGGCTACACTAACTGTTGTCCTGTTGACCATAACCCCATCCATTGCTTCTTGCACAATCCTCTCAGATTCAGCATCAAGAGCACTCGTTGATTCATTTAGAAGTAGAATTTGGGGGCCTTCAGAATTACTCTGGCTAGGGCAACTCGTTGCTTCCATCGACCAAACAGCGGAATTCCACGATCACCCACCATGGCGTGGTGTACCTAAATTAAAATTTTAAAATTCAAAGGCAAATTAAAATTCATATTTTCAAGAAAGTGAAGAAAGAGGAATGCTGAAAGAGTGACTAAATGGACGTGCAAGAACCGGAGGTATTTTATCAATGAATTTGGCAGAATTTACTAGCTAAGCTGCAGCTCTAATATCCACAATTGTTGTCACTGTTGGGGGCTGCGAGTATGCTCCATCAGGATCCTTGAGTAGTTCCAACTATTATGCTTTCCTTCTGAGCACAACTCACTTCTTCTGAGGAGTAACCCAAAATATAAATAAATTGACATTAGCTAAATTTTAAAGCACATACAATTGGAATTAAAGTTGTAAAAGAAAAGCGAAACCACAAAGCTAATGCAGTTATATTATCGCACCATTAATAATTGCGGATAGGGCTCCTGCTATCAGAACCAGAACCTCTGGTTTGTAGAGATAGGCAAGGAGGCACAGTGGAACTTCTAGACGCTGTTCTGACAGTTTTGATAGGTGGCCACGGCGTTTTCTTAATGCAGTTTCAGGAACACACTGTCCAACTGATGCTGGTAGGCCAAATGAGACACAGACGAGTTGAAAACTCACTGGAACTGAGTGACACTTGCATCGATTGATTTGATTTCAAGGGTCGATCGATGGAGCCTTGCTATGGCTTCGAGCGACGTACCTAAAAATGCCCTAATTTGCTTCTTTTGCAATTTTATGTCCTCATACACCCTACATGATCTCTCATATGATCAAATAAATAAATAAAGACACAAATAAACAAAATTATAAAGAAATATATTTTTGTAATTTTTCAATTTTGTGATGATATGCAAAGACACATATATAAATATATAAATCTAAACATGCCAAAGTTTTCGAAGTGTCAATAAATCAACAATAAAATTGAACATTATTTGGACCCACAAATTTTTATTCTATTATCTTTATAAATATAAAAATTCTCCTAATTAGGTTCAAAGATTTCTAGCCCATTTATAAATCAATAGTAGTCAACTTAGTCCATTATATGTGCATTAGAAATAAACTCAACATAAATATAATCAGTGTCAAATTTGTGTTCAAAAACAAAAATAAATTTCACACAAAAGATGCAAAGATTATAAAAGCAGGTGAATTTTCGCTCTTTTCTTTTTGAAACCTCTCCTGTTTTTTTCTTTTGTGTTTCTATGACGGCTTTCACTCTAATGAGTAGCCAGCTATTTTCCCTTATTCCCATTTTTTTCGAGTCAAGGAAGCTTTCGGTCTGATCTCACTAGGTAGCCTTTTTCATAAGAAACTTTTTGCAGCTATCTCATTGGAGATTTTTCGTTTCTTTTCAACTGCAAAAACAGGCTTTTTTTTTTTCTTTCCTTTTTGCATTGCACCTCACTTTTTTTTTTCAAATGCCATCATCTTATATTACCTTAAGATGTTACTCGTTATTTGAGTCTAAGTTCACAACTTTGAAGAAAGATCATATAAATGTGAGTTAGTGTGTGTGCGAATAATTTCACAAGTTTCTTACTATAAAGAAATAAATAAACCGAAACTTTTACTAGAAAGTATTCAAACTTCTATGTTTAATCAGAATCAATTTCAAAATTGTGTTTCCAAACTTTTATCTTTTTAATTGACCCTTGATTGAACAATTCAAAGTTTATGGCATGTATTTCTAGACACGAATACATAAATAAATTAAACAAATATACATGATAAGTATGCATAAATTATCATACTAGGGTACTGCCAAAAAACCAACCCACCAACCCACTGATACAAAAAGAAAAAGAAAAAGTAGAAGAACTGCCAAAACCTACCCACCAGCCTACTGACACTATTAGAAAAAGAAAAAAGAAGAGGAACAAGAAGAAGAATGCCTCTAGCAAAATTTCTCAATATGAGAGAGCCAATCCAAGTAATATACAACCAGAAATACTACAATCCCTCCTAAGAAAAAGCTGGGTTAACTCACAAAAGAAAATGGAACCGGATGCATTCTTGAAGTACTTCACCTTTAAAGGAAAGAAAAGATCAGTTTGGCATCTTCTAGGGAGGTTAGGCTAAAAACTGCCAGCTACCATACTTCAAGTTGGTTAGCAGCTTTGGGTCAAATATGACATACAACAATGCACAGCATTAGAAATTGAAGCAGTTCAGGGATACAAAGAAGAACCTTCTCAATAAAGCAGTGGAAAAAAATGCCAGCTTCCGATTCAGTAATGGTGTATCCCTCATTCCTCAGCGTAACAAAAAGTTCATGAAGAAATTCCAGCACCTGGTTTTAGAGGGGAAAAAGAAAAAAAATTTAATCACAATCAACAAATTTTCTTAAAAGCCACCTGAAATAAGCAAAATTGAATATATAAATAAGAAAATACTTCACCTTCAATAGGCGTGATGTGTTAGATTTGTAGAATCGCAAACCAAGCCATCTTAGAAGAAACACCTAGAACTTCAATTAGTTCCTTTCCAAAGAATGGAAGTGCCAGGAAAGCCAACATAAACTACAATTATATAACCAATCACATATTCTGAGCATTTTGAAGCCAACGCACTGTTTCTGGTCCGCAAGCTCTTAAAATTTCACCAATGCAAGTTTTTGCACCCTTGCAAACTTCCGCTGATTTATCCTATAGGGGAACCAACAAACCATAAAATTTTCATAAAATCAAAAAATGAATATTGCTTTCAATTTATTTTGCAAACAAATTCTAGTATTGCTCTAGTATATACCGTCATAGCAGAGGCAACTGGTTTTAGCAAATGTGAAGCATCGGAAAAATCACTTGATCCAGTAAGTGGCCTCGATACCCAATGAAAAAGATCCGTATGATCTTTCACAGCAAGTATTGCATCAGTTAAAGCAGCAGCAACTCAAGTAACCTAAAATGGACATAGAATTGTCATAATATTAGACAAGCTTGAATATAATGCACAACAATACAACCATAATTACTGCAATCCCTTTTAAGAAAAAGGTCGGTAAACTAACATAAGAAAATGGAACTAGATGCATTCTTCAAGAAAATACTTCGTCTTTTAAAGAAAGAACAACTGCCAGCTACCATACTTCAAATTGGTTAGCAGGTTTGGGTCAAACATGACCAACCACAATGCAGCATTAGAAACTGCACAGGTGATGGGACTAATTGAAGCAGTTAAGGGCTACAAAAAGAACCTTCTCAATCAAGCAGAATTAGAAACTGCACAGCGGATTGGACTAATTGGAAAAATTCAGGGCTAGAAAAAAAAAAAAAAAAAACCCTTATCAATCAAGCAGGGGAAAAAATTGACAGCCTCCGATTTAGTAATGGTGTATCCCTCATTCCTCAACGTATCAAAAAGATTAGGAAGGAATTCCAGCACCACTTTTTGAAGGGGAAAAAATACTAAATTTAATCACAACCAACAAATTCTCTTACCAGCCACCTGATATAAGCAAAATTGAAATATATAGATAAGAAAATATTTCACCTTCACTAGGCATGATGAGTTGGATTCGCAGAATCGCATACCAAACCATCTTAGAAGAACATCTAGAACTTCAATTAGTTCCTTTCCAATGGATAAAAGTGCCTGGAAAGCCAACGGAAAGTAAAATTATACAACCAATCACATATTCTGAAAAACTAAAAGCCCGTTAAAAATCAGGTCACAAGTTCAGACTTGACATGTAACCTTTATATTTGCTCTATATGTGATCAAGTAACAAAATAATTAGCAAACCCAAATCTAAGATACCTTTTTCAAACATCTTTCCTTGATGAATCACGGAAATCATATAGGCATTCCTCATTGTGCTCAATCGATGGGCTACACTAACTGTTGTCCTGTTGACCATAACCCCATCCATTGCTTCTTGCACAATCCTCTCAGATTCAGCATCAAGAGCACTCGTTGATTCATTTAGAAGTAGAATTTGGGGGCCTTCAGAATTACTCTGGCTAGGGCAACTCGTTGCTTCCATCGACCAAACAGCGGAATTCCACGATCACCCACCATGGCGTGGTGTACCTAAATTAAAATTTTAAAATTCAAAGGCAAATTAAAATTCATATTTTCAAGAAAGTGAAGAAAGAGGAATGCTGAAAGAGTGACTAAATGGACGTGCAAGAACCGGAGGTATTTTATCAATGAATTTGGCAGAATTTACTAGCTAAGCTGCAGCTCTAATATCCACAATTGTTGTCACTGTTGGGGGCTGCGAGTATGCTCCATCAGGATCCTTGAGTAGTTCCAACTATTATGCTTTCCTTCTGAGCACAACTCACTTCTTCTGAGGAGTAACCCAAAATATAAATAAATTGACATTAGCTAAATTTTAAAGCACATACAATTGGAATTAAAGTTGTAAAAGAAAAGCGAAACCACAAAGCTAATGCAGTTATATTATCGCACCATTAATAATTGCGGATAGGGCTCCTGCTATCAGAACCAGAACCTCTGGTTTGTAGAGATAGGCAAGGAGGCACAGTGGAACTTCTAGACGCTGTTCTGACAGTTTTGATAGGTGGCCACGGCGTTTTCTTAATGCAGTTTCAGGAACACACTGTCCAACTGATGCTGGTAGGCCAAATGAGACACAGACGAGTTGAAAACTCACTGGAACTGAGTGACACTTGCATCGATTGATTTGATTTCAAGGGTCGATCGATGGAGCCTTGCTATGGCTTCGAGCGACGTACCTAAAAATGCCCTAATTTGCTTCTTTTGCAATTTTATGTCCTCATACACCCTACATGATCTCTCATATGATCAAATAAATAAATAAAGACACAAATAAACAAAATTATAAAGAAATATATTTTTGTAATTTTTCAATTTTGTGATGATATGCAAAGACACATATATAAATATATAAATCTAAACATGCCAAAGTTTTCGAAGTGTCAATAAATCAACAATAAAATTGAACATTATTTGGACCCACAAATTTTTATTCTATTATCTTTATAAATATAAAAATTCTCCTAATTAGGTTCAAAGATTTCTAGCCCATTTATAAATCAATAGTAGTCAACTTAGTCCATTATATGTGCATTAGAAATAAACTCAACATAAATATAATCAGTGTCAAATTTGTGTTCAAAAACAAAAATAAATTTCACACAAAAGATGCAAAGATTATAAAAGCAGGTGAATTTTCGCTCTTTTCTTTTTGAAACCTCTCCTGTTTTTTTCTTTTGTGTTTCTATGACGGCTTTCACTCTAATGAGTAGCCAGCTATTTTCCCTTATTCCCATTTTTTTCGAGTCAAGGAAGCTTTCGGTCTGATCTCACTAGGTAGCCTTTTTCATAAGAAACTTTTTGCAGCTATCTCATTGGAGATTTTTCGTTTCTTTTCAACTGCAAAAACAGGCTTTTTTTTTTTCTTTCCTTTTTGCATTGCACCTCACTTTTTTTTTTCAAATGCCATCATCTTATATTACCTTAAGATGTTACTCGTTATTTGAGTCTAAGTTCACAACTTTGAAGAAAGATCATATAAATGTGAGTTAGTGTGTGTGCGAATAATTTCACAAGTTTCTTACTATAAAGAAATAAATAAACCGAAACTTTTACTAGAAAGTATTCAAACTTCTATGTTTAATCAGAATCAATTTCAAAATTGTGTTTCCAAACTTTTATCTTTTTAATTGACCCTTGATTGAACAATTCAAAGTTTATGGCATGTATTTCTAGACACGAATACATAAATAAATTAAACAAATATACATGATAAGTATGCATAAATTATCATACTAGGGTACTGCCAAAAAACCAACCCACCAACCCACTGATACAAAAAGAAAAAGAAAAAGTAGAAGAACTGCCAAAACCTACCCACCAGCCTACTGACACTATTAGAAAAAGAAAAAAGAAGAGGAACAAGAAGAAGAATGCCTCTAGCAAAATTTCTCAATATGAGAGAGCCAATCCAAGTAATATACAACCAGAAATACTACAATCCCTCCTAAGAAAAAGCTGGGTTAACTCACAAAAGAAAATGGAACCGGATGCATTCTTGAAGTACTTCACCTTTAAAGGAAAGAAAAGATCAGTTTGGCATCTTCTAGGGAGGTTAGGCTAAAAACTGCCAGCTACCATACTTCAAGTTGGTTAGCAGCTTTGGGTCAAATATGACATACAACAATGCACAGCATTAGAAATTGAAGCAGTTCAGGGATACAAAGAAGAACCTTCTCAATAAAGCAGTGGAAAAAAATGCCAGCTTCCGATTCAGTAATGGTGTATCCCTCATTCCTCAGCGTAACAAAAAGTTCATGAAGAAATTCCAGCACCTGGTTTTAGAGGGGAAAAAGAAAAAAAATTTAATCACAATCAACAAATTTTCTTAAAAGCCACCTGAAATAAGCAAAATTGAATATATAAATAAGAAAATACTTCACCTTCAATAGGCGTGATGTGTTAGATTTGTAGAATCGCAAACCAAGCCATCTTAGAAGAAACACCTAGAACTTCAATTAGTTCCTTTCCAAAGAATGGAAGTGCCAGGAAAGCCAACATAAACTACAATTATATGACCAATCACATATTCTGAGCATTTTGTAGCTAACGCAGTGTTTCTGGTCCGCAAACTCTTAAAATTTCACCAATGCAAGCTTTTCCACCCTTGCAAACTTCCGCTGATTTATCCTATAGGGGAACCAACAAACCATAAAATTTCCATAAAATCAAAAAATGAATATTGCTTTCAATTTATTTTGCAAAAATATTCTAGTATTGCTCTAGCATATACCGTCATAGCAGAGGCAGCTGGTTTTAGCAAATGTGAAGCATCAGAAAAATCACTTAATCCAGTACGTTGCCTCAATACCCAATAAAAAGGAACCTTAAGCTCTTTCGCGGCGCATCTGTTAAAGCAGCAGCAACAACATTAACCTAAAATGGACATAGAATTGTCATAATATTAGACAGGCATGACTATAATGCACAAAATATAACCACATTTACTACAATTCCATTTTAAGAAAAAGGTCGGACAACTAACATAAGAAAATGGAACTAGATGCATTCTTAAAGAAACTACTTCGCCTTTTAACGAAAGAACTGATCGGTTTGACATCTTATAGGAAGGTTAGGATAACAACTGCCAGCTACCATACTTCAAATTGGTTAGCAGGTTTGGGTCAAACATGACCAACCACAATGCAGCATTAGAAATGGCACTGTTGACAGGACTAATTGAAGCAGTTCCGGACTACAATAAAACCTTCTCAATCAAGCAGCATTAGAAACTGCACAGGTGACGGGACTAATTGAAGCAGTTTAGGGCTACAAAAAGAACCTTCTCAATCAAGCACGGGAAAAAAAATGGCAGCCTCCGATTCACTAATGGTGTATCCCTCATTCCACAGCGTATCAAAAAGTTCAGGAAAGAATTTCAGCAGCTGTATTTGAAGGGGGAGGGGGGGGGGGGGGGGGGGGGGGGGGGGTGGTTTGAGAATAACTAAATTTAATCACAACCAACAAATTTTCCTACCAGCCACCTAAAATAAGCAAAACTGAAATATATCAATAAGAAAATACTTCACCTTCAATGGGCAAGATGACTTAGATTCGCAGAATCGCAAACCAAACAATCTTAGAAGAACATCTAGAACTTCAATTAGTTCCTTTCCAATGGTTAAAAGTGACTGGAGAGCCAACACAAACTAAAATTATATAACCAATCACATATTCTGAGCAAGTCCAAGTAACCACAAATGTGACAGCGAAAGCACCTTCTGCAGCATCTCAATACCATCAACTTGCTTCTTTAAGTCTGTGCTAAGAAGCCTCCTGTGCAGATCTTCTCTGAAATACTTCAAAAGACCATTCTGTAGCATAAACAATCATTCTGTCAAATTCAAAAGGAAATGATAGAAAAGCAAAAAATATTCATGAACTGTAAATGAACACAAACCTCGAGTTCTTGAATTTGCTCTGACCGTGGCTCTTAGAATTTAGACCTTCGGATAACCATTCTGTCTGTAATATCCGGCACATCAGTCCTAGTGACAGTTGCAGCCGTTTAAGAGCAATAGCCAAGGCAGGTCCACATACATCTTCCAAATTTTTGGTCACCTAGAAAAATGATAATTATAATAAAGAATCTCAAGGGTTCTGTCAGTTTTAAGAAACCAAAAGGATCATCAAAGAATTTTGAAGCCAACGCACTGTTTCTGGTCCGCAAACCCTTAAAATTTCACCAATGCATGCTTTTGCTGCCTTGCAAACTTCTGCTGATTTATCCTATATGGGAACCAATAAACCATAAAATTTCCATAAAATCAAAAAATGAATATTGCTTTAAATTTATTTTGCTAAAGCATTCTAGTATTGCTCTAGTATATACCGTCATAGCAGAGGCAGCTTGTTAATCCAATAAGTCGCCTCCATACCCAATAAAAAAGATCCTTACGTTCTTTCACAGCAAGTATTGCATCTGTCAAAGCAGCAGCAACATAAGACACCTAAAATGGACATTGAATAGTCATTATATTAGACAAGCATGACTATAATGCACAAAAATACAACCACAATTACTACGATCCCTTTTAAGAGAAAGGTTGGTCAACTAACATAAGAAAATGGAACTAGATGCAACTACTTTGCTTTATAAAGAAAGAAATGATCAGTTTGGCATCTTCTAGGAAGTTTAGTCTTAAAACTGCGAGCTACCATACTTCAAGTTGGTTAGCAGGTTTTGGTAAAACATGACCAACCACAATGCAGCATTAGAAACTGCAAAGGTGACGGGACTAATTGAAGCACTTCAGGGCCACAAAAAAAACTTCTCAATCAAGCAGCATTAGAAACTGCGAAGGTGATGGGACTAATTGAGGCAGTTCAGGGCTACAAAAAGAACCTTCACAATCAAGCACAGGAAATAAATGGCAGCCTTCGATTCAATAATGGTGTATCCCTCATTCCTCAAGTGACGGTGCACTAAATAAAACACAATCGGAACTTGATGTTATATTACTATCCAATATACCCTGTTTGAACCTTAACATTTAACAAAGGCAGAGACTGGATTGTCATATATTGAAAAGATATAATTGACTCAGGCCATGAACCATTGCTTCCGTAACTCCCTGCCCAAACAATTAAAGAATCAGAATCATTGTTAAACTATAAGCGGCAAACCTTTCAAGCAGGTAAAAGCATACTGAAGACACACCTCGTCTTCAGTTGATCCGAAATGGCACTGCTTTGACACCGGTTTGGTGCCTGCCAAAAACCCTCTGATGGTAAAGTCAGTCACCAGTAAAATAAACAGAGCAGTAAGGTGATAATTTTTATTGTACCTGATTGGTTGCTATGGACCTACTTTATAGCTACCGTGGAAAATTAGTTTGTTGCAACTTTAAGAAGACTTCCCAGGAAATCGAATTTCTATTTTACTTTATCGTCTAACTCTTTTGAATTTGTAACTGTTTGATTGCTTCCGATTGGCCCTCGGCTTTTCCTTTGTTGCTGACTATTGTACCTTTTCCCCTATCACATGCCATGGTACACGATCTCCAAGATCGTTGATACTAGACTTCCTAGCCTTTGAGCCAATTTTAGATGTTGGTATTGTTTATTGCTGATTCAAACGTTTTCCTGGAAGCAAACAAGTTAGATTAGCTAAGTAACACAGCCAACAAAACCAATATAACAACTACGCAAAATTTATGAAGAATCACCTTGAAAAGCCCTATATGGCATCAGCCGTTCGAGAACAATAGCCAAGGCAGGTCCATGTATATCTTTTAAATTTTTTGTCACCAAGAAAAATGATAATTATAATAATATCAAGAGTTCTATAAATTTCAACAAACCAAAGGTAACACCAAAGAATTTTGAAGCCAACGCAGAGTTTCTGGTCCGCAAACTCTTAAAATTTCACCAATGCATGCTTTTGCTGCCTTGCAAACTTCCGCTGATTTATCCTATATGGGGACCAACAAACCATAAAATAAAAAAATGAATATTGCTTTCAATTTATTTTGCAAACAAATTCTAGTATTGCTCTAGTATATACCGTCATAGCAGAGGCAACTGGTTTTAGCAAATGTGAAGCATCAGAAAAAACACTTGATCCAGTAAGTTGCCTCGATACCCAATGAAAAAGATCCTTATGATCTTTCACAGCAAGTATTGCATCTGTTAAAGCAGCAGCAACACAAGTAACCTAAAATGTCGTAATATTAGACAAGCTTGAATATAATGCATAACAATACAACCACAACTACTGCAATCCCTTTTAAGAAAAAGGTTGGTCAACTAACATAAGAAAATGGAACTAGATGCATTATTAAAGAAAATACTTAGTCTTTTAAAGAAAGAACTGATCAGTATGACATCTTCTAGGGAAGGTTAGGCTAAAAACTGCCAGCTACATAACTTCAAGTTGGTTAGCAGGTTTGGGTTAAACATGACCAACAACAATGCAGCATTAGAAACTGAGAAGGAGATGGGACTAATTGAAGCAGTTAAGGGCTACAAAAAGAACCTTCTCAATCAAGCAGTATTAGAAACTGCACAGGTTATGGGACTAATTGAAAAAATTCAGGGCTGAAAAAAAAAAAAAAAAAAAAAAAAAAAACCTTATCAATCAAGCAGGGAAAAAAATTGACAGCCTCTGATTCAGTAATGGTGTATCCCTCATTCCTCAACGTATCAAAAAGTTCATGAAGGAATTCCAGCACCTGTTTTTGAAGGGGAAAAAATACTAAATTTAATCACAACCAACAAATTCTCTTACCAGCCACCTGATATAAGCAAAACTGAAATATATAGATAAGAAAATACTTCACCTTCACCAGGCATGATGAGTTAGATTCGCAGAATCGCACACCAAACCATCTTAGAAGAACATCTAGAACTTCAATTAGTTACTTTCCAATGGATAAAAGTGCCTGGAAAGCCAACGGAAAGTAAAATTATACAACCAATCACATATTATGAAAAACTAAAAGCCCGTTAAAAATCAGGTCACAAGTTCAGACTTGAAATGTAACCTTTATATTTGCTCTATATGTGATCGAGTTACAAAATAATTAGCGAACCCAAATCTAAGACCTTTTTCAAACATCTTTCCTTGTTGAATCACGGCAATCATATAGGCATTCCTCATTGTGCTCAATCGATGGGCTACAATAACTGTTGTCCTGTTGACCATAACCCTATCCATTGCTTCTTGCACAATCCTCTCGCATTCAGCATCAAGAGCACTCGTTGCTTCATTTAGAAGTAAAATTTGGGGGTCCTGCAGAATTGCTCTGGCTAGGGCAACTCGTTGCTTCCATCCACCAAACAGCTGAATTCCATGCTCACCCACCATGGTGCGGTGTACCTAAATTAAAATTTTAAAATTCAAAGGCAAATTAAAATTCATATTTTCATGAAAGTGAAGAAAGAGGAATGCTGAAAGAGTGACTAAATGGACAAGCAAGAACCTGAGGTAGTTTATCAATGAATTTGGCAGAATTTACTAGCTCAGCTGCAGCTCTAATATCCTCAATTGTTGTCCCATCCTTCCCATACACAAAATTATCCTCAATGCTGGATGCAAACAACACGGGTTCTTGGCTGACGAGACCAATTCTCTCCCTAATCCATTAAGCTGCAACACATATAGATTAATTTGATCAATAAGTACTTCACCAGTTTGTGGATGATAAAATCTCTGAATCAGCCTGAGCATTGTTGACTTACCTCTTCCACTCTGTCCAACCAAAGCTACAGTTGTGCAACTAGGGATGGAAAGAGAGAATGCACTATCATCTGGTCGGGCTGAATAACAAAAATGGACATCACTTAACTCTATATCTCCAGGCACTCTGCTCCATATTTCTCCTTTGGATTGTCTCAGGTCGAAGGTTCTTCTTCATTTCCAGGAGTCTTGCCTTATTTGTCTTCCTCAAATGTTCCAGTTGCAGCGTAAGTAGAAGCAGGGAGTTCGGTTGCCTGGTTTAGATATTTGTGAAGTTCTCTGTCTGGATCTGGTTGATAACATCATCAACCTCTCAAAAAGCTCCGCTTAGAGTAGACTAATGTCATCCAACACTTTTCCCTTCATGTCATATGCATCTATCTCTATAGTCTTATTTATAGTCTCAAACATCTGTAATGCAGCAGCTTGACTTGCAGCAAATGCACTCATGCAAGGAAAATCGGAGATGCCTGCCGTAAAGACCTGAAATATCCACATTGCAGCAAAAAGTTATAAATATATGATTTGCTACAAGACTGACAAGCTCAATCAGAAGGTGAAGTGTTTTCTTTTATGTAGTACTGAAAAAACTATAACTTCTTTAGAAGCTACACAACAAAATGGGGAAAAAACCAAAACTTCATTTTAGCTCTTCTTATTCTTTTACATCTCATCCCGATTCTTAACTTTGCACACCTTACTACTCTACTAACTTTTTGTCCTCTCCATTTCAGCTCTTCGGAGTAACATGAAACATAGATAAATTGAAAAAGATAAACATTCAAGCAAATAACAGCAGTAAGAGCAACCGAACTGGATGCACAAATATGCACCTCAATGTTTCATATGATTTACCTTCCTAAACAAAACTTCTAAAACATATAAAAGCACCCAGCCAAGCCAAACTCTCCCTTGTGAGACAGAGTGGGAGCTGATTGTTGTTTCCTCCTCCAGATGATTCCCAACTTGTGGAACGCAGGAATGAAATTTTTTGACTCGACTGTCTACCAGATTCCATAGTAATTTATGACTTGTCTTGCTCACTTCTAGAAATCATATGAGCTGAGAGTATGCTCCATCAGGATCCTTGACTAGTTCCAAATATTATGCTTTCCTTCTAAGCACAACTCCCTTCTTCTGAGGAGTAACCCAAAACATAAATAAATTGACATTAGCTAAATTTTAAAGCACATACAATTGGAATAAAAGTTGTAAAAGAAATGAGAAATCACAAAGCTAGTGCAGTTATGCTATCGCACCATTAATAATTGCAGATATGGCTCCTGCAATCAGAACCGGAACCTCTGGTTTGTAGAGATAGGCAAAGAGGCGCAGTGGAACTTCTAGACGCTGTTCTGACAGTTTTGATAGGTGGCCACGGGGTTCTCTTAATGCAGTTTCAGGACCACTCGGTCCAGCTGATGCTGGTAGACCAAATGAGACAGAGACGAGTTGCAAACTCACTGGAACTGAGTGACACTTGCATCGATTGATTTGATTTCAAGGGTCAATCGATGGAGCCTTGCTATAGCTTCGAGCGACGTACCTAAAAATGCCCTAAATTGCTTCTTTTGCAATTTTAAGTCCTCATACGCCCTACATGATCTCTCATATGATCAAATAAATAAATAAAGACACAAATAAACAAAATTATAAAGAAATATATTTTTGTCATTTTTCAGTTTTGTGATGATATGCAAAGACACATATAAATATATAAATCTAAACATGCCAAGGTTTTTGAAGTGTCAATAAATCATCAATCAAATTGAACATTATTTGGAGCCACAAATTTTTATTCTATTATCTTTATAAACATAAAAATTCTCATAATTAGGTTCAAAGATTTCTAGCCCATTTATAAATCAATAGTAGTCAACTTAGTCCATTATATGTGCATTAGAAATAAACTCAACACAAATATAATCAGTTTCAAATTTGTGTTCAAAAACAAAAATAAATTTCACACAAGATTCAAAGATTTAAAAAGCATGTGAATTTTCACTATTTTCTTTTTCTTTTTGAAACCTCTCTTGTTTTTCTTTTGTGTTTCTATGACGGCTTTCACTCTAATGGGTAGCCAGCTATTTTCCCTTATTCCCATTTTTTTCGAGTCAAGGAAGCTTTCGGTCTGATCTCACTAGGTAGCCTTTTTCATAAGAAACTTTTTGCCGCCATCTCATTGGAGAATTTTCTCTCTTTTCTTTTCCTTTTTGAAACCTCTCTTGTTTTTTTCTTGTGTTTCTATGACGGCTTTCACTCTAATGAGTAGCCAGCTATTTTCCCTTATTCCCATTTTTTTCGAGTCAAGGAAGCTTTCGGTCTGATCTCACTAGGTAGCCTTTTTCATAAGAAACTTTTTGCAGCCATCTCATTGGAGATTTTTCGTTTCTTTTCAACTGCAAAAACACGCTCTCTTTTTTTTCTTTTTGCGTTGCACCTCACATATTTTTTTTCAAATGCCATCATCTTATATCACCTTAAGATGTTACTCATTATTTGAGTCTAAGTTCACAACTTTGAAGAAAGATCATATAAATGTGAGTTAGTGTGTGTGTGAATAATTTCACAAGTTTCTTACTATAAAGAAATAAATAAACCGAAACTTTTACTAGAAATTATTCAAACTTCTATGTTTAATAAGAATCAATTTCAAAATTGTGTTTCCAAACTTTTATCTTTTTAATTGACTCTTGATTGAACAATTCAAAGTTTATGGCATGTATTTCTAGACACAAATTCATAAATAAATTAAACAAATATACATGATAAGTATGCATAAATTATCATACTAGGGAACAAGCATTTTCACGCCTCTTGAGGCTTCTCCTCCTCCTCCTTTCCCATGAAATCAAACAACCCACGATCCACGACCACATCACCCCTAATGGTACTGTATTCATTGTCAAGCCCCATCTCTTATATTTGCACTCTCATATCACAAAACCCAAAAACAAAAATCGTTCCCAATCGACAAAATGCTAAGCTACCTTAAATTCATTTTCACAATCTTCCCTGCCATGTTCAAGCAAACCACAGAACTGTCAAAACTAAAATTAATTATAAGAGAGAAAATACTACGTATATTCGCTAAGCAAAAAAATATGGGCAAGTATAGAAAGGAAAACCACTTGAATTAATATTATTTACCACCCAAAAAGAAAGTTCCATATCGCATTGAAGCACCCAACCATGTTCTGCTTTCCTAAAACTCGAAACAACAACCTAAGAGGAATACAAAACAAAAGAAATTACACACCAATTTTAGCTAAGGGCAGAAAAACTGAAATTAAGAAAGAAAGAGAATCAGAGATAGAGGGTACACCCTCACACATTTTAAGCCATTAACTTTTTGAGTGTAAGAGAGAAAGAAATTACCTGATAGGATTATGACAAGATCGTCGAACAGTGGGTAGATTTTCACCACAGCACAACGAATAATATTATATGCCTTCAGTGCCTCATTTTTTACTCTTTTTTTTCACATCTAACCCAATCTCCCTCTTCTTTTTTTTTCCTTTTAAATCTTTTTTTTTTTTTTTCACATGCAACTCATTCTCCCTCTTTTATCGCAACTTCTCCCTCTCTTTTTTTTTTTTCCTTTTCATATAGTCTATTTTCTTTCTTCTCACATTTTCTTTCCCTACTTCTCTCTTTTTTTCTCATACAAATCTGACATCCTTTTTTTTTTTCTTTCTTTCTTTCTTTTTTTTTTTTTTTTTTTGTACATCTCATCTCACTTCTTTTTCGAACATCTCTCACTCACCATCTAAAAGATAACCTGAAACACAAAGGAAATCAATTAAACAAATATACAAGCACATAAAATTACTACAAATATCACCACCCTTCAGTTTAACTAAAAATAAATACATGCCAAAAATTAATTCCAACCTAAAATGGACATAGAATTGTCATAATATCGGACAAGCATTAATATAATGCACAAAAAGTACAATGAAATAGAATAAATGAACAGATAGTAACCGTTTTGTCAAGATGTACAGCAGCAAGCCAAGAATCTAAAGTAGTCAAAGAAGATTCTGTCAAATTTCTTTTTATTGTCACCCAGGCATTTCAAATCGCCTGATAGAATGCCCTGCAGCAAACCACTTAACATATTAATGTCAGATATCTAAGAAAAACAGAGTAAAAAGAGGCAAATGCAGGTTCAAAGCCAACAAACCTTGCTTGACTTAACCATTGCAGATGCGGCAGCACCTACAGCAGCCAAACTTGCCATAACTAATTTTTTATTGATGTCGAATAGGCGTCTTCTAAGTGATCTGAATAAATCCACTGCCAATCAACAGAAAAATAACAGATAGACAACATTACAAACAAAATAAGAAGTACAATGAGGATGATGCTTGTATGGTTACAGTTAAAACTTAAAATGTATAGCTAGTTCTAATCATGCAAAATAATTGCATACCAGTTCCGGTTGGCTAAATGCACTTACTGGCCTCTTCCAAGATTTTGTTGACAGCTTCAATAGATTCCAAACAAATCTGATATACAAGGAAACAACAAGTTCAAGAACGTCAGTTACCAAGAATTAAAACTGTACCCACACAATGCTATATTACAAGTGAATATCATAGATGCTAATGGCCAGACCTTCCAATCATGACTTTCTATGCCCTTTAAAAGGGCAGGTGTGATCTTCCCACTGATATCCTCATGTGGCAGGATATCAAGCCACCACTAAATGAAGAGAATGTGAAATCCGATGTCTTAACAGTTTTCTTCGGAGCCGCAGATAAACCATACAAAATACAACACCACACAAATAACAGACAACTTATAAGAAACAATCACAAATGGAATGGTAAATGCAAATGCAAATGCAATTCTACCTCAAATGGATTTTTTTATATATTCTGCATTGTCTGCAAAAGGTACTACCCATAAATCACAGCTCAAAAGCATCCAAAACTTTGATGCAGAAATTACTGAACCAACAAACTTAAAAAAAAAAAAACGACGTAAAAATATATATATATATATATATAATATAATAGTGGAACTTAAAAGGTATTTAATGAACCGATGATAAACCACAAATCTGAGACATAAGAAACCAAATGACTTGAATAGACTATAAGGCCTACCTCAAATAACATGTTGATGAGTAACTTATCCAGATCTTCCATGCCAGCGGCTTCCAAGCAAAGATCACAAACTAGAGGGATTAGGAGTGAGAGTGGCAGAATGGGACTTGGCAATAGTGAAGACATAACAAAATTTATAAAGCCGTGAGCATGTGGAAAATAATAACAAATTAGGGCCTCTCCTTACGGAAGAATAATGACCCGCCTCAATAGGACCCCATATGTCAATTCCATCATCTATGGGCTTATCAAATCTAACACTGATTTTCAATGAGGATTTCCTTCCAAAGGTAATAAGACCTTCCCTCCAATCTCAAAAGTTGGTCCCCTAAAAATTGACATAGATATGCAGACAGAAACTGAGGCATTTACCATAGTAAAATTTAAATTGTCACAAGAGAGAGAGGTACAATAGATACACATACGACATTCCACACAAGTAATGCTTGCCACATACATGTAGACAAAAAAATAAAAAATTACATAGCCAATCGTTATGAAAATGTCAATACAAAGAATAGAAAGAAATAGACATGTTGTACAGGCCACAGGCTCATACCAAGTAAACATTTTTTTCCTAAATGTGTTGGTTTCATTAAAATTCAAATAATAAGTACAAGAGAAAAAGGAGGTACAACCTCCTTCAAACAAAAGAAAGGAAGATGGAAAATGCGCTGACAAAGAATGCAACACATCCCAAAAAATATCCAGCACAACAGAACATACCAAGTATACATTTCCCACAGTAGAAGATTATTCCATATATATGATATCACCTGAATGAAGTTACGTTGACATTTAGAAGTGTTAACCTTGGTGAATGATGAATGAACACAGAGATTAGTTAATGAACCTATGAATCAAATTTGAAAGCTCCAAGAGCAAAGGCAATAGAAAGTTTCGAAACTAATACAGACCACGTGATTTAACTTATTAGATGAAAAACAAAGGAAAGAAACACAAAGCATACCCTAAAAGGAAATGCAAAAACAATACCAATAAATAAATAAATAAATAACAAGCATAAAGGGATGAAGTGCTGAGAGATTAAAATACAAGTCATCCCCAAATTAAAAGAAATGATAACATAAAAGGTAGTCTTGACAGCACAAGACAATTATAAATTATACTTTGAAGTAGATAATGTTGAATATAAGCTGCCAGAAGCAAAAGCAGTGAATCTCACTTTGTCACCAACCAATTACAAAATTTATCTTTTTCGAGAAAGGAGTTCCATAGTTTATTTAGAAATAAAAACATAATTTTGAGCTCATGTAGAAGGAAAAAAAAACAATTTAACGTTGAAGGGCACCAGAAATTGAACCATGAAAACCATGCTCACATGTAACCAGAAAGGGCATACCTGATTTGAAGGAACTCTTAGACATGTCCAAGGAAGACATAATAGTCTAGGCCAAAAGAAGAAGGAACATTTGAAGGGCTAAGTGTATCTGCTTCAGAAACTGTAGGAGAAGTGATCTTAATTAAGTCGGTAGCCCCAAAACCTTGCTTGGTTTTATTGCAGGGTTTTCTGTATTAAATCCCCCGTTCAGTAGTTCTGCTTCATTTTGTGCTCCAACATTGATGTATTCGAGTCCTTCACCAAAAAGAACATGGGGCCCAATTCAGCCAACCACTAGGGCTCTACAAATGTTGCGCACTGCATGTACTCCTTTCTCGTCAAGATCGACCCGTGACCAACCACATAATCTGGGGTGTCACCAAAACCATACAGAGCACTGCTTAAGTGCAAGTAGCAAGGCATCCCATTCCGCAAATTAACATACACTCCCAACACCTTTAAGCCTTGCTGAATTGTGAAATTATTCAGAACAGATAAACTTCCTCACAATATCCCAAACTAGTCCACAGGATTTGAGTGGGATTTCAGTGTTTTCAGAATATTGAGTAACTGGGATCTCACCCTTCTTGCTTTCCCAAACCCTTTTACATGTAAAAAGTGACTATTGCACCAATCACCCCGGTATTGATTAGGTTCCATTGCTGGTAAACATTTAGTAGTGTGAGGTGGTCAGATTCTGAAACAAAGAAGCATCACTATCCTCCGCCATGTCCTTGGGTCTAAAGAACACTGATGGCACCGAAAGCATTGATACAATTGTCAGAAACTCATCTATGCATCCTAGTTGTTCTCCTATCAAGAGCACCTTAGTAAGTGGTGGATCCAATGGGAACACCATTTTCCAACCAACATCAGGTAGGCTTCCCTTACAAAATATTATCCTCACCCCTGGAAGCGAACAACACGGGTTCCTGACTGACGAGACCAATTCTCTCCCAAATCCATTTAAGCTGGAACACTTTTAGATTAATTCCATCAGTAAGTACACCAGATTGTGGATCATAAAATCTATAGATCAGACAGATCACTGTTGACTTCACGCTTCCACTATGTCCAATCAAAGCTGCAGTTATGCCACTAGGGATGGAAAGAGAGAGTGCACTGAATATTTGCTCATCTGGTATGGCTAGATAACTAAAATGGACATATCTTCACTCTGCCTCCAGACTTACGTCATCCAATAAATTTCCTTCATGTCATATGCATCTATCTCTGGCTTCCCATATATAGTCTCAACCATCTGGAATGTAGCAGCTTGACCAGCACCAAATAAATTCATGAAGAGAGATCCCTGCCCTGAAGACCTGAAATGTCACATTGCAGGAAAAGGTTGTAAATATATGAATTGCTTCCAATCTGACAAATTCAAGCATAAGGTGAAAACGTTGGTACTAAAACACTATAACTTCATTAGAAGCTACAAAAAAGGTAAAAAAAACAAAAACTATAACTTCATCATAGCTCTTTTTTTCTTTTACATCTCATAGGAATTTTAATTTTCACATCATACAATTCTCTCATAACCTAAGTCACACAGAGCGGCTGTGGGAGCATGAGAGCGTCACCCATTTAGAAGAATTATGTGAGTTAGCTCATAATTTTTTTTTCCCTCCCTTTTCGAGCTATTCGGAGTAAAACATAGACAAATTCAAAAAGATAAAAATTCAAGCATATACAAGTAGTAAGAAAAACTGAACTGGATTCACAAATATGCATCCCAATGTGGCTAATCATAAAAGATTAAAAAAAATAAGCAAAAAAAAATAGTTTCATCTGATTTACATTCAAAAACAGAACTTCCATAACATATAGAAGCGCCTAGCCAACCCAGTCTCTGCCTTGTGAGAAAAGGAAGAGACAATCTAAAGAAAAATAAAAAGCAGATACAACCAAAATAGAAATAAAAAGTAAGACCAATTAGACATTCATTTGAGATAGGGCATTAAAATTCCAATTGGGATGGAAGTTGTAAAAGAAATGAGAAACCATACCAGCTAATCCAGTAACGTAATCACACCAATAATCATTGCAGATACGGCTCCTGCTATCAGAACCAGAACCTCTGGTTTGTTGAGATAGGCAAGGCGGCAGGGGAACTTCTTGACACTTTTCTGACAGTTTTTATAGGTGCCACTAGTCTGTTAATGCAGTTTCAGGAACACTCGCTCCTGCTGGTGCTAGTGGACCAAATGGGACAGAGAATGAGCAGTGATTGTTGTTTCCTGATCCAGATGATCCCCAAACTTGCGGAATGCAGAAAAGACATTCATTGACTTGACTGTCAACCAGATTCCGTATTAATTTCTGACTTTGTCTTGCAATTGCACCTTGTAGTTGTGAATCTTTGTTCACTTCTAGCAATCCTATGAGCTGGGAGTGATCCTTGATTAGTTCCAAATGTGAGCCTGTTCAATTAACAAAATAACACTAATTGACATACATTTCCCCCTGATCTATGAGAACTATGTTGAAAACTAGTAAAAAAATAAGTTGAGATTTAGGAACAAAACGAAGAAATTTTAAAAAAATTGTAATTTCCAGGAAAATTTCATTAGAACATATTTACAATTTTTTTTCTTTAAAAGAAATTACCTTTGGGAAAGCAATGTATACTATAGTAGAAAGAAGCATATTTTCCATTGTAACTAATAGGAACTTGCATTTAATTGGGAATTTTCTCAAAACATGGAAATATCTATGAAGAAGAAAACTACAAGCCAATTAAAAATCATATCACCAGTTAAGGAATGAGAAATAACCTTTAGATTTTCAGTATATTGATATAATTACATGTCAATTAGCAAAGCAAAATCTAAGATACCTTTTTCAACCACCTTGATGAATCACAGCAATCATATCGGCATTCCTCACTGTGCTCAAATGATGGGCAACAATAACTGTTGTTCTGTTGACCATAATCCTATAAAATGTTTCTTGCACAACCCTCTCGGATTCACCATCAAGTACACTTGGTGCTTCGTCGAGAAGTAGAATTCGCGGGCTTTCAAAATTGTTGGCTATGGCAACTCGTTGCTCCTGTCAAACAGACAATTGAATTCCGTGCTCACCCACCATGGTGAATAGTCCCTAAATTAAAATTTAAAATTCAAAGGCAAATTAAATAATTGCATGTTCATGTAAGTGAAGAGGAATGAAGAAAGCATAACAAAATGGACAAAAAGCAAGAACCTGTGGTAGCTTATCAACGAATTTGGCAGCATTTGCGAGCTCAGCTGCAGCTCTAATCTCCTCAATTATTGCCCCGTCCTTCCATACACG